GGGGGGGGGGGGGGGGGGGAGTGATAGAGTGACTTGGTGGATACCTGGCATTTAGCCAGAGTCAAACCATCACCTTATGCTGACCAGACCCCTACCATAGAGAGGTCTGCTGCCTCTGTGGGGCTTGGGTCAGAGATATTAAAAGGAAGGTCACTGCTCTGGTGTGACCCTCTGATCACTACCCCTTCTTGGTTATCCAGGCAGGTAACAATGAGGTGGTAGAGAGAAGTCTTAAGTCACTCAAAAAGGACTTCAAGGCACTGGGGTGGCTAACTGAAGGCTCGGGAGCTCTGATCGTGTTTTCACCCATCCCTCAAGTGGAAGGGAAAGCCACTGATAGAGGGTGGAAAACATATCTGATTAACACGTGGCTCAGAGACGGGTGCCACCGTTTGTGTTCTTTGACCATGGCGAGGTTTATCAGGCACCTGGTTTGCTGGTAACAAATAAGACAGGTGGGATGCAGCTGTCCCAGAGGGGGAAAAGGATTCTGGGGCAGGAGTTAGCAGGGCTTATCAACAGGGCTTCTATGTGGGGGGAGAGGGTGATAACTGGGCACGTTAGTAACAAGCTCAAGGGAAGCGAGCCACAGATTGAAGGATGCTGGACTGGTGAGGGCTCTCCCTCTACCACTTCATTTGAGAGAAGGGAAAGATGCATCCAAGGGCTTGTAGAGTGTTCCAAATGACCCACCTGTATGTGTCTTTCTACTAATTGTTGAAGTGCATTTACTTTTACTGAATTAAGCAGCCAGTGCTCAACCCACACCGGTGAAGTTAACCATGTAAGTTTTAGGGCTGGTATGTGTTCGGCAGTGGCCTCTAATATAAATTTGTAATGCCAGTTTTCATTTGTTGCATGCAGTCACGGCCCAACAAAACTCCCTGGAAATTTGGTAATACTATAGGCTTCAGTATTGCAATCAAGGAATATCCTTTATAATATCCTTGATCATTAGATTAGATTGCTGTCGGATACATTCTATTATTACAGCTTCCTTAGCACCATCAGGTAAGTCTGATTCTGTGACCGCAGCGTGGAGCTTATTAACACATTTCAAGAACGGTTCATTTTGTTCTTGCTTAATAGAGGTCCACAGGGGTTTTGTCTTTTCTAACTTAGCTATATCTATGAAAGCTTTTTTACCAGCTTCAGTAAATTCCCTGGGTCTGAGTTGTAATCGAGCAGGAGTTGTTGAAAACGCTCCCCGTCCTGTAAGGCGGTTGAAAGCAGTCTCCATGTGAGGGGTGTTGTACATCTACGATTGTAGAGTCAAGTTTTACTCCTAACATTATACAGTCTTTCGGTAGGAGCTGCCAATCAGTAGGGTGTTTTTGTAAACAAGAGGAAGCAGCCCCGCCCAGGATCAGACGTCTGTTTTCCTAGGTGAAGGCTTCCAGTGTACGTACTGCCGATGTCAGTTCCGCTAGCAATTTCGTCATTTCCTCCTCCGTTTTTTTCTCCTCCCTTTCTAGCCACGCCCCTGCCTTTCCCATGTGCTTGGATTTCAGACCGCTGTCGTCTGATTCGTCATCTGCCTCCGCCTGAGTTTTTTGATGTCGGCAATGAGCAAACTGACTGCCTGATTGTTTTCTATTGCAGGGGTCAGGAGGCTCTGCCACAGTCCAAGGGTTCACTTCCTCCAGATGAGGGGGAGCACCCGGAAGCCAATCGAGCAGGGGGTCCGGCCGGAGCCGCCCCTTTTTGCTCTCCTGATGGTTTTGAAATGCCTGCATTTCTTGTTTACATTCTTGGATTTCTTTTCTCCACTCCTCATCCTCTAAGTCAGCCATCTGTATTGTGGCTTTTGCTTTTTGTGATGTTCCCCGAGGGTATTCGGGGGGTGTGCGGGCGAACTGGAAGGACTCGTGCCACTTCCGCTCCCTTTGTTCTCTTCAGGGGCTTTGCCTTCTATAGGCCACGCCGCCCCTAGCTTCATAGCTTCCTCCTTAGAGGAAATATCTGCAAGGTCCTCTGAGTAATTTTCTCTGAGGAACCTTGCAATGATCTATGTGCATCCTTAGATGCATGCTGTTTGGCTTGGGTGGCTTTCATCAATATATTTACTTTATTCCAAGTCATCAAGTGCTGCGGATTTCCCTTTTCTTCCTGCTCTTTTAAATCAGCTTTTATCAAGGGCCACAGCTCAGGCTTCATACAATCCATCGGCTCAGCCAGAATACCGAACTTTAATAATCTTTGTAGCATCTCTTTTAAAGCACTCGACTTCATAGAAGTCTTGTTTTCTGCCCCATATTTTTACCTTGATTGTGGCCTCAAGGCGCGCCGTGCAGTCTCCCGTCCTGCGTGGAGCTCCTTTGCCTCCTGCCGTGTACCGCCGACAGCCACCGTCCGTACACCGGGGTCACCACTTGTTGTGGTAAGGCATTTGCTGCTTTTTTCTATCTGCTAAGCCACAGGAATGCGTCGTTCAGATCACAGGTAGCCCTTCCAGGAGGTTAACCTCCGCAGGAAAGAAAGCACAAATGCCAATATGGTGGATGCTATTGGTTGGATTTATTAACTGCGCAATTGCTTTATATACCCCTTTCTGTACATCGCGAGATCTTTAGCTCCCTGTTCTTTCCGTGCATCAGAGGTCTTTTCATGTGCCTCTGTTTTTCCTGTACATCTCAAGAACTTCCGAGCGCCTCCCCCTACACACAGGCATTTTAATATATTAAACCTAAAATGAGAATATCTGTGAGAATTTTGGCACTGACAACATTCTGTTAGTCCAAGACACTAAAAGACTCTGTCCACTGGGTCACAATTGATGACCTTCCAGAAAACTGCCTGGATTATGGTGTGACTCCAGAGCTAATAGAGACCACTGCAATTAGCATGGGGAGGGTACAAGCCCGCTCTGTTCTCACCATGGCACTATGGTGAGTCTGGATGAGTCTGAATAGCTCCTCACAAGAAAATCGATTTGCATCCTAGCAGCATTTAACAGCCACGGACCCGGACAGATCTAATGGGAGGTACAGTGGTTCAGTGCAGAGGAGGGATTAAAAACCATAACATGGTGGCTGCGCTGCCTCCACTGTGTCTCTAAACACCAACAACCTCAAAGCAGCCACTTACCAAACTTGAAAACTGTGAAATTGCAATTGCATGGCTACAAGCAAAGGTCATGGAGAGCTGCCAGGGTGCCCAGGGGGCCAAGAAGGCCAATGGCATCCCGGCTTGTGTCAGCACTGTTATGGATTAATGATAATTTAAAGGGAAATCACCACCTTCGAATCTGTTTTAGTGGCCAGTAAAATTTATTAGCAAGCGAAAGTGAGCAAAAGAGCGCTGGGTGTGCGGGGCAGTCTCTGCTCCACCCAGACACACACCTTACATCCCCAAACGGAGTCCTTTTGAAGTGCAGCCTGCATGAATATTCATGAGGCTGGGGGTGCTCCCGGAGGCGTTTGCAAGTCGTCAACAACTTTTCGCGGGCTTTTCCTTCGCGGGCTTTTTGTTGCCGGGGAAGGTCGCCGGCTTTCCACCGTGGGGAGGAGGGGACGGCTCAGCACAGGTGTGCAGGTATCCAGGGTCCAGACAGGTCTGGACATAACACCATCTGGCCTGAAGCAAAAACGTTTAGAACCATAACACTGTCTGACCACAACAAAGTTCAGTTACAATACAATCTGATATTAACACCATTTCTTTTTATATTTAATTTGCTGATAATAAATTTAACCATAACTTGAGATTGAATACCAAATATCATATAGGTTTTATTACAAGCCCTGGGGTGGCCAGCAGGGACAGGGAAGGGATCTGAGCCCTGGGCTCGGCCCTGGTGAGGCCGCCCCTCG